ACTGAGAACCTGGCTGAGCAGATTTGTACCTTGTGATCCATTTTCACAGGATGTGCCTCATGCACATCTTTGGTGACTAGACTAAAAGAAAGTCATGTTGTGCATTAACTTTTCCATGCCAACCCCTGTTGTAAGAAGGTCTAACCAAGTACAGCCCTGGCTTTCCTCTGGGACCCNATTTTTTTTTTTTTTTTTTTTTCGCGACTGGTAACGGGATCGCAACCCTCAGTGTCACGCCCGCACCGCGACCGGCAATGGAATTGCAACCCTCGGTGTCGTGCCCGCACCACGCTCAACCAGTGAGTGGGAACCAGTCTCCATATGGGATTCGAACCCTCGGCGGGAGCGCCGCCGCACTCCCAAGCACTGCACTCTACCGAGTGCGCCACCGGGCCAGCCCCCTAGCATATATCTTAATCTTACCTAATTCTTATTTTCTTTTCTCCAGATGAGATGACATCTGACAGGCAACTAGACAGATGCTGTCAGTTAGAACATCTAGGTCCAGAAGTCTACACGGAGCTCACTTTTTCCTAAAAGTGCAGGTTAGTGAGTCCTGATATAGTCCGGATTATAGTAAAACTATACACAGTTGCATAGTTGTCTTAAGATTAGTGGGAAAGGCTGTGGTTTGCTTTTCAACCAAACACATCTGAGGTTGAATCCTGGCTGCACCTTTTCCTAGTTATGGTCTTGAGCAAGTTACCAATTCCTCCAAACACCAGTTTCCTCATCAGTCTCACTGGGCATGGTGACAGTCACCCCATACATCTGAATATTCTGGGGGATGGAATATACAAAGCATCACTGATTGTGTCTGACAGTGTAGACAGTCATTACTCAATTAAATCTGCTTACTTTATAATTATCTGCTGAATAATGAGAGGAAATTACTGTGTACTATTCCCAGATGACAACAAAATAAATGTAACGTGTGGAAAGAGATGTTGAAAACATTACTTTTTACAAATATTAATAAAATATTTATGTACCATAACAAGTTAATTTTTACAACTTTTTCTAATGGGGCAAATCAAAGAATCACTCAGTCCCTTGTTTTCATTCGGGACATTGGTTCCAGTAGGAGCATTTTAGCTGTGTCTAAAGACCCCAGGACTTTTCATGGGATGGTGATAATAGTCTCTATACAGCAGCCTGAAAACAATCACAAGAAAATGCACTATCAGTTTTTATTTTCTACCATACCCCCAATTTACGGCACTGAGCACAATTCTGTTTCCTTGATGTAAGAAATGGTCAGTTGTTTGAATTGCTGGAACCAGTCATCTTAATGGAAATCTGATCCTGTCATTCTCTACATCTTTCTTTGACATACCTAAGCCTGCTTGTGGCATTTAGAACTCGTTAGCACTGTAGTTTACACTATGACCCCCTTTCCCACCTGCCTGGGATTTTTGCCTCTGGCTTTCTCACTTCCCACTAATTTTTTGAGGTTTCAGATGTGTGAAGCTGAGGACTGTCTCACCACCACGCCTTGGCACAGACACTTCCCGCCACCTGCAATGCCTTTTCCCAGACTCTCCTGGGTAATTCATAACAGTGCTTTCCCCAGGAAGTCAAAGTTTTTCGGGTAACACTCACTCTGTTTTCACAGGAGCCCGTGTGTACCCGATCGCAACACACCCAATCACTTGTTATTTTGTTCCCCACGAGGCTGCACTGATGCAGAAGTCAGGAAGTGGGCCTGGCACAAATGTGTTCTAAGTAAACATCTACTGCATGTATAGATAGATCCCACTCATCAATCTTTCCTTATTTCCTATAGGATTGGTACTTCTCTTCTGACACGTTGGTGACAGAGCTACAGACACCACTCATTGATATAAAATCTCAATCAGGGCAAGACGCAATACTCGGCAAAGAGTAAACTGAGAACCTGGCTGAGCAGATTTGTACCTTGTGATCCATTTTCACAGGATGTGCCTCATGCACGTCTTTGGTGACTAGACTAAAGGAAAGTCATGTTGTGCATTAACTTTTCTATGCCAACCCCTGTTGTAAGAAGGTCTAACCAAGTACAGCCCTGGCTTTCCTCTGGGACCCAGACGTCCCTTTAGTCAATTTGGCTTAATTACATGGATTACATGGATTTTTGCCACATTGAGTATAAGTGACAACTAGTCCTAAGGATGCATAAATCTGGGCAGAAACTGGAAAATTAAATTAGGCTGATTATTTCACATTAGATAGGAAAAACACACAGCAAAAGAGGTGCTGTCCAGAATTAATTATTATTTTTCTTTAATTTGAGCTCGATTAGCTAGTATGAATATAGAGATAAACTCGGTAACCAAAGCAATTTTGGAATCAAGAGGGTGGGGCCTAGATCTTATCACTCACTAGATCTGGGTGAATTCCCAGCTAGTGCTAGCAAAGGTGTTCCTCAGGCTAAAGGCATCCATGGATCTGAAGATATATGTCAAAGGTGGAGACAACTTGTTAATTGGACAAGAGCCCTGTTCACTTGGGGTGAAAACATAAGCCAAAGGTTATCTTATTGGTTGTCAGAACTACTTGCAGGCTCTAGTGCACTCATCTCGTCCATGGATCTGAAGATATATGTCAAAGGTGGAGACAACTTGTTAATTGGACAAGAGCCCTGTTCACTTGGGGTGAAAAAATAAGCCAAAGGTTATCTTATTGGTTGTCAGAACTACTTGCAGGCTCTAGTGCACTCATCTCCCCCATTGGGGTCCTTCCAGAACAGTGGTTTTATGGGATGGTGATACTGCCTCTGTATGGTAGCCTGAGAAACATCACAGCAAAAATCATTATCAATTTTTATTTCCTACCATACACCAAATGTACAGCACTGAACACAATTTTGTTGCTTTGATGTAAGAAATATTAATTGTTTGGAGAAACAGTATACAAACAAACTACTTCAAATTAAAAAAAAATGCATACATCATTGCCTTTTTGTTGTTTACAAAAGACCCAATTTACAGTATTGATCATTAACATAGTTGGAAAGAAAAATAATTCAGTGCACATTACAAAACACATCAAGTACAAAGGAGGCAAATAAATACAAACATACTTCACAAAATATCTTGCTCAGACTACGCAAACACAAATAAATTAACCTGAAGTCATAGTAAATTATAGTAATAAATACATAGGTTGGTAAGAGATTTCTTTTAAATTAAATAAAATATATAACAAACTTGTTAAAATATTTAGCAAATTAAACTTTTGCCTTTGTAATAAGTGAACTCATTTGTATGCATCTATGAAGTATTTTATAGCAAAATGTTTGCAAGTACATAACTTTAATAGAAAATTTTGTTTTGTGTCCCATTTATAATAAACAGCACATATGGTAGCTCTTTTTATTTTTGTAAATTGATTTTTAAATAAACACCGTTCCTACCTAAGAACAGACATCTCATTTTCACTAAGCTAAGATTCAAGAGTTCAAATGAACCCCAAACCAAAGATAAGCCCCACTTAATGCATAATAACAATGACCACAGTTTCATGGGAGTGGAATTACTGTTGAGTATTACTTTTCATTTGTGCAGGTAACAGTAATAACAGTGGAATATATCAAGCCTGTGAATGCCATCACATTCAATCTAAATATCCATGAGGCTAATCAAAAATAAACACTTTTGTTATAGCACAGAAAATTACGCCCACATGAAGTTCATGTGTACATTTACACAGAGGCACGTCTGCACATGAAATGTGTGTGCACACCAAAAAGGCAGTTTAGCTGGTTGTCTATACCTTTTCATTAAAAAAAATAAATATAAAAAAACTTTTGAAACAATGCTTCACTACTTTACAATCCCTGAAATAGACATTGCCTTCACTACAGCAACTACTAAACTCTGATCCATTCAGAAATGCAAGATTGCGGGCTCAATTTGATGTGTGGATGAATGTCTGTGAGTGTATACATGTGTGAATGTGCCTGTGTGTGTGCGTGTGTGTACTTTGCAGCACTTGTACTTCTAGGTAAAGATTTTTGTCAAATTGAACATTGTCTTATTTCCTAAAGAGCGTGAGACCAATGTTGCCAGTGTTCAAAGTAATCACTCAGATTGAAGGAACATATTTTCATGTGTTACTATATTTTCCATTCCTTTCCAGTCAACTCAGTAAGATAAATGCTATTTCAGGGGATATGGTATCTACAAAATTTTCCATTTGGATGTGTTTGTATTTGCTAAGTACAAATCTACACCAATATTGTCACTTGTATATTGTACCAACATATGGCAGGAAAACCTGGCTGGTCACACCAACTCTCATTTCTCATCTTGGGATAGGAGTTGCCAACTATCTGATATGACTTGAAAAACAAACAGACAAATCTGCATCACTAAAAAAGCTTATGTTTCTTTAAAACATTTAAAGTAAATAATTCATATTAACTAAAACCATACAGCCAAGTCGAATACTTTGCTGATTGCTATATTAAATTATTGCTAACAAATGGTGAGCAGGCTGTTTTCCAGCATCCTGTGCTTTTGTGAGTGCGAGTGCCCACTAGTGGGCGCCACTCACCTCCTCATCCTTCCCGCCGCTCGCCTTACTGCGAATTCGTTCATAAATACAAAAGCCAGTGGGAGGGGGGCAAAAGTGCGCAATAGAAATCAAACTCGACCACAGTGCAGTCCTCAGACGAGGATTTCCTTCACACTTTTTTGTTTTCTCATTTAAACCCAGCAAGATAGGTGATTTGAGAATAGCGTTTCTATTTAAATCCTATTGGAAAATAAATTAATAAACACACTTGTAAAAATATGGCAGACTTCAAAATGCAGTTAAAAGATAAAAAACTCTGTGATTAGTAATAAATAAAATATAAAAATGTCACATTTATCTTACATATACTTTACAAAAAAAGAGTGCAATGAAGAAATAAAAGAAAAACATATGAAAATAAATAAGATCTAATAATTGACTGCATTGCTTTTAATCCAAAGAGTCTATCGTAGTTTTTTTTTTTTTTTTCTTTCCTTTTTGTGTCAGCTGGGGAAATTAGTGCAACGTTGCAATTGTAAATGCAGCACGGCCTCCTCTACGCCTCAGCAGCGTGTGAACCCCTCACAGGTCCATCCGGAGTTTACTGCTGTTGCCGATTCCTGGTGCCCGGCAGCGCTGCTTCCTACACGTGGATGCCCTTCACTGCCTGCTTGATACTTTCCAGGAGAGCTTTGCATTCCGGGGAATAGTCCCGTTCCAGGTTGCTGTACATGTCTGTGAGTGTATTTACATATGCTTCAAAATTCTGCTCACTGATAGGTCCCTAAATGGAGACAAAACACATTGAACCAATCGCCGTAGTTCAGGCTGAAGCAAGAACATCAGTAGTCTGGGAGGGGAGGCTCCACACTGGTGCTGGAGTTCTGGGAGATGGGGTGTGTGTTGGGGTTCATCTGCTTACTCTTTATGCAACCCATGGGATTAATGGGACTCGACTGTACAGTATTTGGGGTCGATTTGGAGCCCTGTAAGGTAGACATCTGGCTGCTGAGCTGGACTCTCTAAACTGCTCTACTTCTCCTGGGAGCCAGCTCAGCCTCAACGGCACATGCTAAGCACCAAAGACACCCCCTGTTTGGGAAAGCGAAGGTTGGAGAGGCTGGGAGGAAGGTGTGCTTGTGCCCAGGGGCTCCTGTAACAGCACTGGGCTGACATTTAAGGAGTTTAAGGTTAGAGCAGGTTGCTCACTAACAGTTGTAATGGAAAATTTTCCTCCTCCATCCTCAGACACCGTGTTGTCCATTTTTACCTCGCAGCAGCACATATATATATATATATATATATATATATATATATATATATATATATATATTTG